TCAATCTATTCTATACAGTATCAAGAGTAGATCTACTCTTGACAGCACGGTAGTGTTTTATTTATACATGTATGTATGACTATCAGAGATAAAAATTACCAGAATTAAACTATAATTTTAGATGAATGATCTATACTCGTACATATGTATATGTACGTATTAAGTGTCTTATTGCCAAATCAAAACTACCAAATGCATTTCTATTAACCAAACATGTCACATACATATACATTATACATGTATTACGGTTCTCATACCTTCCTCAGTGAGTTCTGTAGTTGACTCCATCTTTGATTGTATCATTGTTTCCTCATATTGTGAATAAGCATCAAATATTTGTGTGAAATCACGGACTGTGATGACAGAGTGTATCCCCTCATTGTATATGTCCCTACCCTAATTAAAGAGCACCCACTGTAAATATTCAACATTTAGTAATTATTAGTGTTTTATGTACATGTACACGACTACATGTGTATGTATACAAAGTACTGAGCTAGTAATATGCTATGTAGAAAATTTGAGCTGTTTCTGACAAATAATTTTGTGAGTTATGAGTACATGTATATCAAAAACAAGCCAAACTTTGGAAGAAAAGCAAAGGCTATAGCCCATGGTTTTTTTCAATAATGGCTCTAAAATCACCCCCAATTTTTATTACATTTTCTGATACATATTGATGTCTTTATGCCATGTAGAAGTTTGAGTCAATTCCGACTTCAATTTTTCAAGTTACAGCCATTTTAAGAAATTTGCCAAAATCTGAAAAATACCCAAGGCTATATAGCCCATGCTTTTTTCCAAAAAATGGCCAAAAAATCACCCCCAATTTTTATTGAATTTTCTGTTACATATTGTCGTCCTTATGCTATGTAGAAAGTTTGAGCTGATTCCAACTTGATTTTTTTGAGTTATGAACATTTAAAAAATATGAAGTAAATGTACATGCACTGTTATAGTGAATGACAGTATATGTATAATGTAACTTAATCTCTCAAATCTACCAGCTTTAATGTGATAGTCTGCTAGTGAGCACCACAACTGATCCACCATGTCAGTGAACCGTTTTATTCCTCCTCTAATGATAGCCTCTACATTTAAACTAGTCACCTAAAGAAAACAAAAATAAAATAAAAGTATAATTAATAAATCAGTGAGTACTTACTATGTCAGGGTTCTTAGCTATCAGCTCACACAGCTTGTACCACAACTGGAACTTGGACTTACCTTCCTTTGAGAAGAATGACTCCTAAAAAGAAAGAAATATAATTAAAAAAAATAAAGTAATATATATATATAGAGAGAGAGAGAGAGAGAGAGAGAAAGATTACTTTATTGACAATTTCAGCTAGTTTAATAGCAGCTTCATCAAGTCTATCTATTGATATCAAATAATCAACAAACTCTTCACTATTCTCTGGACAAAGCTACATAAAAACAACAGTAATAATAATTATAATTTAATTAACTCCATACCCACCTGTATATATCGTCTATAAACTCTAACTGTTGTCTCTGGAAGGTTGTGTAGTCTGAGGAACTTGATGTAGAGCGGCCATATTCTTTTATGTTGGGTGAGAGGGAGTGACCGTAATGATCTATCAAATGTCCTTCTGGTCCTAGTGATCTTATTCTGTTCAGTTAGGAACTGACAGTAATCCATCCATATACGAGGCATCTGGAGGAGAGAGAGAGAGAGAGAGAGAAAGAGAGAGAGAGGGAGGGAGAAGATTTGAGAGAATTAAGCAATATGAAAGGTCACCTACATGTACATGTACATGTACATGTAATTGCACATTTTAAAAGTAACAAAGAAAGAGATGGCAAAATAAAGAGAGAAACTAAACACACAAGTATATGTACATGTACATGTATAATTGTACATTATAAATTAAACAGATTATTAAGAAATACATTATTAAGAATTAAGAGAATTAGAATAAAGAATAAAGAGAAGGAGAAAGAGGGGGAAGGGAGAGAGAGAGAGAGAGAGAGAGATTTAAAAGCATTAGGTATTAAGAAAGGTCACATAATTGCACATTTAGAAGTAACAA